GCTGACCGACTCCACAGCACCGCAGAATCTTTAAGGGTGGAAAAGATCTCTCAGATCACGAAGCCCAACCGCCAGCCCAACACCACCGTGCCTGCTGACCTGCGAACACACGGAACTGCTCCCAGACTGAAACATCGCCTTCTGAGCAGATTGCAATTACAGTTTCTCTGGGATGAGGAGCATGATTAAAGACTAATAAAAAGGTGCAGCAAACTGTGAAGTCCTGTCTGTAGGCCACGAGCTGAGAGTCCATGACCTGGCAGGGGCCAGCAGCCATTACCATGACGTGACCATTTGGCATCTGACAGCACGACCGGCTGCCCAGTTCAGGACAGGCTGCCCAGGCTACGTCCCCCACGCGGGAGACCGACCAAGCGCGGGTGGCAGCTGCTAGCCAGCACCGAAGGAGACACCTTCTTAATGATGGGAAAACGCTTTAACACAGAAATGTTCTGCATCATGCTAGACGTGCTGTCAGCAACTACCACCCAGATCGATGACCTTCCAGAAGCATAACTATTGTTCTGTCTGAAAAAGGTTTTTTGCAGATCTCATTTTCACTAGCTTAAAGTTACACATGCTTGCGGAGGGGAATTTGAAATCCTTAGGACTATCAAACCAGTAGGTTACGGGAACATACCTGGTACAAAGATGGTTCAAACAGGGAGCTCAGGCACACTATCTCATAGAAATGTCAGCATTAGTCTGTGCTACATAAGTTGCGCAGAATTAAAATGGAAAAAATCATCTCCTCATTAAGAACTAGAAACCTAACCTTAGCTGGAGCAAAGCAGGTATTGTCCTAAATCAAGTGAGGACACCAATGCAAATCAAAAACAAAAGTTTTGAGATTTACAAACCAGAAGCAAACTCTGTTCCCAGATTTATTCAGCTCTAAATTTGAAAGTACATTCCACCTACTTTGACATTAAGAGCACAGAGCATCAGTTACAACCCAGCTTACTTTGTCAACACCCATTCGTTTGAAACCTGCTTGTAGAACCTTGAAGTTTTGAATGTACTCGTGCTCCAGTTTCGCTTGAAACTTGACTTTCTTGAGCGCTACAGAACCTGGGAAGAGCATGTCCATAAACTGACAGTAGGCAGCACCTGCCAAAAGAAAAAAAGAATACAAATCCTAGGATGAATCAAGCCAGCTCACCAGTCTGTGTAAGCTACTTTTCAGTCAGATCAGCAAACTGACCCAACTCATTCCTCAGCTACCAGTCCCTTAAAGACGACAAAGGCAAGAAAACGGGAACCTTCCGGCCCCTGCTTCGGTGCAGCATGGCTGTTAATAAGTTTAAGCAAACTGCAGAACCACACTTTTGGTCTTATGGCTTGAACTCTATTATAAAGAAGTGCAACTCTGCCCCCACAATTTCAACAGGGGAAAAAAAATCCAATGAGCAATTTGACTTTCCTTTCCTCATGGATATCGGTACAGATCTGAGACGTTCCATGTGTCCGACAGGCATGTAATCTCCTCTTATCAACACTAATAGAACTAAACTAGAAAAACAGTCATTCTAAAAGTTGTATTTAATCATTATTAAAATAGCGATACATTTGCTCACCACAAAGAGAACCAACACACAGTTCAAGGTACCCTCAAAGGTAAGAGGCCAAATTAAGCAGGATTATGTTTAAATCACGCCTTAATCAAAGAACTGAGACAGTGTTTCTTTCTCTTAATTTTAAATCCTTCATGCCCTTCAATTCAGCTCTTACTGTACTAAGAGCAAAGAGGGATTCAGTTCAGCCACAAAGATTAGACAAACACCTCAAAAAAAAAGCTTTTGTAGAACATACACACATCTTAAGAAAAGGAAGGTATTTTTAAACTATACCCTCACCCTGCAGTGATGATTTGCAACTGCCTGCCGCTGAAAATACAAGCGTGCCATTCTGAGCATCATTCCCCCACCAGTATCAGTGGAGAGTAACGGGATCCTTAACCTAAGCCACCCAACAGCCACACGACAAGCTTCTGTCAGGCAGCGAAAGGCCAAGAGGAAAGACATCACGGTGCTGCCCTAAGTAGTCTATTCATCTCAGCCACAGGTAACAGAGAGTCCTATACTGTTCACTCTCTATCAAGATACTTTGCAGGTCTTTGGGGCTCCCCCTTTCTATTAGAACATCACAGCTCATCCACCGGTGCTGTTTGATCTCCACTGTCTGAGTTCACTTGCTGCAGAACTCCAATGCCCAGCTCCAAGAACTGATGACTTGCCAGAAATCAGGGCTTTGCTAACTATTGGTAGTCTGAGCAGTAAGCCCGATTCAAACAAAATCAAAAGAGAGCGCGATCGCAGCATAAGCCAAAGGTCATCTTTTGTGCATTTATGCAACCTCAGCCTGTTGCTGTCACTACTGCCCGTGCCAAAGGCAGCAAAGCCAGCTTGGAAGCTCCAGCTTTCACATGACTACGACAGACAGCGAAAGCCACCTCTGTACCTGCAGAGGCATGAAGCATTTTTGCAGACACAGGAAGAGGACATTACTCAGCACATACCACATCAACAGCTCTCAGCGTTCTCCTGAAAACAAGCGAGCTGAAATTCTGCACAGCCAGTATTAATTCCTCGCGCTCCTTGAGACGGAGCTCTCGCAGCATTCAAGACTCACACCAATTCTAAGCAGAACTTCTCAGCCACACAAATCAACACTGCGCCTGCCAGGTTTTTAACCTGCCCATCTGAAAGTGGACAATGCTTATTTCCCTTACTTCTGTGGTTGCGAATCTTAGTTCCTTCATCTTACAGTTCTTCTCATCATCTCCCCAGACAAAAGCCACTACAGACACTTGTCAGCTGTCAACTGTAAAGCCCCCTGCTTCTCTGTAATCTTTGTGAATGCTTCTTCCACGGTCTCAGCTGGAGGCTGCACTGACATCCCAAACTTGTTTTACATTTATTCCTCCTTTTATTCTAGCTCAAATTTCCACATCTCCCATTTTGCAAGCAACACCTCGTCTCAAACTCACTGTATGAGCTGCACTTCCACTGTTCACCAAGTCCCTTTCACCTGCCTGTTGCAGTTATCCCAATCACCATTTTTCATCTAGGCTGCATTTTTGACCTTGGGGTTTTTTCAGCTCTTACTCCACAGACTATTATTTTTCATTTGTTTCTGCAAGCCTCCCCCCTCTCCCCCCCCCACTCTCCTGCCCACGCTGAGACTCGACTCCATTTCTGCACCACAATCACTTCCCCTTTTCCGCCTACAACTCCACCCGAGGCTCAGCTTTGCTCAAGTCAGCTCAAGCCAAAGTGAGCCGGGGTGACACAGACCGACGAGCTCCTCTACCACCAGCTGTGAAGTCCTGAAGGTGAACCCTGGAGTGACCCGTACGCCTTCCTCACACCGCTCCTTCTGCCTAGACGGAATCTTTAGGCACTTCCCAAACCTCCCAGTAGTTTTCCTCTATAAGAAGTCACATTTGTTTATGCTAGTTACTACAGTTCCAAGACTTGCTCTATCCATCAAGATTAAATGTTTAATTCCTCACTGGAAAACACCCTTTCTGAAGAGTCTTTCCTCCACATTAACCCCATTCCTTCTTGTTGCATCTACACTGCAGTGAGTCAGAAGAATACGCCTTTTCATTATGCTTCCATTATTAACAACCACTTGAATAAATCTCTAACCACAACCAGATTATAGCACTGACGATGAATCTGTCCATGCCAGGAATGAAGCCAACAGCGCAGCTACAGAGGGCCAGCGCGGAGGATCACTGAGCGCAGCTGTACCGCCACAGAACCCGGGTGCAGACCGGACTCGGAACCCCCTCACCTGAGCAGAGCTGTTCAATCTTCGTCAGCGTCAGCTGCAGGGACTCGTTGATCCACGCCAGCATGTCATGTCGACTCAAGTTATCGCTGGTCACTGAAGTAGAATACACATTAACTGCCATTTTCTGAAAGACAGAACCAAAGGCGTTAAGTACCACAAACGGCAACGCTGCCCGTTCCCAGGGCTCCGGCTGCCACGCTCCGGGGCCGCAGCGCAGGCGCGTCCTCCCGGGCCTTCGTCGCCCAGCCCGGCACATGCCGAGGCGCAGGAAAGGCGAGGCAGCCCTGCTGCTGGCAGCTGCCAGGACCCCACTCCGGCAGAGCTGCAGGG